GGAAATTTTGTCAACTAACATCTATAAATTAGCGATAACTGCTTATGCGCAGCTTTTGAAGTGCACCGTTCACTGACTCTGCTGACGATGTTTCCTCCCACATACAGTCAGCTGACGTTTTTATTTCTTCAAATTGGGATGTAAACAATCATCTGGCTAAGTTTCAATTGAGAGGAAATCACTGAAAACATAATTTATTTATATGTTCAGATGGCCAGCTGACGTATAATCCACCATGCTACTCCCAGATGACATTTTTATATTTTTAAGTTATTATGTAAACTATCATTTGACAAATTTTCAGTTGGGAGGGAATGACTGAAATAAATTTTTTTTTAAGTTATGGGGGGGTGGAACTCCCTACCCACCGCCGGTAGAGCAGCTGACGATCACGGGGCTTCATGACACAACTGCCCCAATTATTTCACAAATTATCGGTTGGGAGGAAATTGGTACTGAAAATCTGTCGCTGGCTCCCGCTCCCGTAATGACCATATTATTTTATAACGCTTAATGAGTTTTTCATCAAAATTATAAAATTTTTAAATATAATCATTGTTTAATTTATTTTGACATATTCGTATTCCTCAGAATTTCTGGTTACTGGTTGGACACTTTTACCCCTTGTGTTTAATAAAATATCCGTTTTGACCAACGTACTTTCTCATGTAAAGACTGATTAAAATTATTACTCACCGTTGTATATTAAAGATTATATGATTGTTTATAAAAAAGTAAAAAATAAAAAAGTATTTAGGAGCTACTAGTACATGATGGTCGAGGGTTCGAGTCTCAGAGTCAAACTGTCTAAAGAATACCAAGAATGATTTATGAATACAATATGTTACATCCTGTTATATAACATATATATAACTATTACATATCCGTGTTTGTTGGGTTGTTACCTGTGTGAAAATTTAAATTTTTTATCATTTTTCAAGTTTTTATGAAATTTCTTGCATAAACTCTTATAAAATTTCCTATAAAATGACTCTACAATTTTTATAGCGCGATTCCGTACGATCCTTCCAAGTAGGTGTTATTAACTGTTACAGAACAAAAAGGGATTCTTGTTAGGTGCAATTATGTAATTTCATTTTGACTTCCACATCGACATTGAATTTCATAATGACTTTCACTTTGACTTTTATTTTTACTTTGATTTTCACTTTCACTTTTATTTTCACTTTTACTGGAATTCAATTAAGAATTGTATTTCATATTCATTTTCATTTAAAATAAAAGTTAAAGCTAAAGTGAAAATCAAACTATAAATAAAAGTGAAAGTCATTATGAAAGTCAATGTCGATGTGGAAGTCAAAATGAAATTACATAATTGCACTTCTGTATCTATTATTACCAGGGACTGTCACGGAACAATTGTATCGTACCTGGTTTGGTCCTAGGTACTATACGATTATTATCAACTTCAAAATCGTATCGTGTCCGGATACGATACTAATAGTAACATGAGAATCGTATTGTATCCTGCCACGATACAAAAAATGACTTGAGAATCGTATTGTATTCGGGCACGATACGAATAAAGACTTTAGAATCGTACCTTGCTTATAAACAATTTTATTATTTTCAGCCAAAAGTTCTGAACGTTCAAATGAACAAAATATTTTTTTCAATCTATAAATTATTAAAACTGAGGATGGAAATATTAAATTTTAAAAACATACTCAGAAAATATTATAATATAATATACTATTTCCTGAAACAATACGATTTTAATATTACAAATTGTATCGTGCCTGGGCACGACACTTTTCACCTATTTACTAATCGTATCGTGCCTGAGCACGACACTTTTTACCTATTAATTAATCGTATCGTTCTCAGATACGATACGTTTCTTTTAATACAAGTCGTATCGTGGCTGGGCACGACACTTTTCACCTATTAACTAATCGTTTCGTGTCTGGGCACGACACTGTTCACCTATTTACTAATTGTATCGTTTGGGGGCACGATACGTTCCATCTATTACTAATCGTATAGTATCTTGGACCAGATTCGATACGATATTCATATATCGTATAGTTTCGTGCAGGTGACAGTCCCTGATTATTATATAACAGATTCGTAAATATTTCATCACTGTTATGTACAGAGTACCTAATAATAACATAATTTAAAAGGAATAACATAACACAGGCACACAAAAAATAAAAAGCTGTTTGGCCGAGACACTACACTAGTCTATTTCGATGTATTTTTTCACGCTGAATCCGAATCCGAAGTCAGAATTATCAGATTGGCTTTTATTTTTGAGATAAACTCAAAAAACTGCTTAGAATGAAAAATAAAATCAAAAAGTTAAAAAATTTTTGAATGTCACTGCGATAGTGTAATTCCATGTATTTTTTGTCGCTGAATCCGAATCCAAAGTCAGAATTGTTAGATTGTCTCAAATTTTTGAGATAATTGCAAAAAAACGCAAGTAACAAAAAACTCAAAATACTCAAAATCAGTTTTCTGGAAATATCTTCAAAATTTGAGCCAACCTGTCAATTCTGACTTCGAATTCGGATTCAGCGTGAAGAAATACATGAAAATGCACTATCGTAGTGTTTCGGCAAAAAAAAATTTCTTTGAGCTAAAATCGCCAAAAACTGATAAAAATTCTGAATTAGGGGCACAAATAATTTTTTTTGCTGAAACACTACGATAGTGCATTTTCATGTATTTCTTCACGCTGAATCCGAATTCGAAGTCAGAATTGACAGGTTGGCTCAAATTTTGAAGATATTTCCAGAAAACTGATTTTGAGTATTTTGAGTTTTTTGTTACTTGCGTTTTTTTGCAATTATCTCAAAAATTTGAGACAATCTAACAATTCTGACTTTGGATTCGGATTCAGCGACAAAAAATACATGGAATTACACTATCGCAGTGACATTCAAAATTTTTTAACTTTTTGATTTTATTTTTTATTCTAAGCAGTTTTTTGAGTTTATCTCAAAAATAAAAGCCAATCTGATAATTCTGACTTCGGATTCGGATTCAGCGTGAAAAAATACATGGAAATAGACTAGTGTAGTGTCTCGGCCAAACCACATTTTACTTTTTGTGTGCCTGTGTAATTATTCTGCAAATAAGATAAATCTAACTTTTTTTATTATAACTCAGTAAAAGTAATCTCCAAATTTTCAGGAAAAAAATTATAAAACTATGAAATGATAAAATAAAAGAATTGATTTGCGTTTAGTTTATATCCTTAAAAAAAATTTACATTAGTTATGATTAAAAACGTGCCAAACGTTCTTGTATTCATGAACTTTTCCCTGTTACGAAGAAAACTGAAAAAATTCTGACTTTCCTTCAGATTTCTAAAATGGAACATAGTTTTCAAAATTAAAAAATATTTAATTGTTTATTTAATCTTATTAATTAATTTAATTAAAATGTTATTTTGGAAAAATTTTAATTTTATTTACATTTAATTTAATATTCTTTTATCCCATTTCGAAATTGTACATTATTTTAAAGCCATGATAGGCCTTTCTATATTTCAATTCGTTTTAATTTGAAAAACGGTTTTGATTATAGAGATCTCAAAGAAAGTCTGTAAATTTTTTCATGTTTTTTCTACTCACTGTCTTTTTTCGTTAACAGATGAAAAGCTTTTATAATTTTTTACCTGAATGTTCGGAAATTTTTTTTACTGAGTTATAAACAAAAAAGTCAAAGTTGTCTTCTGTTGTCCCCAAATTTGTTAATCTTATAATTTCTGTAAGTGATGTTATAGTTAAGTAATAGATAAATGAAATATTTACGCAGCAATTTGTGAGCAATTTGTATATGTGTGATGGGAAAAATTGAGAACGAGAGGGAAGGGAATGTGGAAAGAGCAATATGCGCTTGAGATTTATAAGTGATTACTAAATAATTCGTCGCTATTTAGTGGTCAAGGGACCTGTGTATCGATAACATTTGCCCGATTGGGCTATAGGTTGGTACAGAACCTGAAGGTACCACGTGGAGACACGCAAAATTCCGACGCTACATGCGTTTTCACAATCAAATATATATATAAATATACCCCAAAATTGTCAATGCTAACCCCTTTAAAACTTTATTTGTAAATATTTAGTTATAATAAGATTGATTGAGTATGAATGTGTAGGCGAGAGTGAACGACTGTGATTAAATACATTGTATATTAAGAAAAACGAGACACAATTTATAGATGTCAAATATATGTATTGTGTTAAAAGAACGGATAATTTTTTACATTCTCATCAAATGAAAAGGTATTATGATTGGTCGAAAATTGACTTTTTCTATTTCCATGAAATCTTCACGTTTTGAGGTGCCCTGAATCGAAAAATCATGGTCCAGCGAAAGTGTCTATCTGTATGTCTATCCATAGACAAAAAATGTTGTTGACACAATAACTTTTGTAAATAGAATTATCATTTGATGGAAGTTGATAATTTTTTTGACAATTGTCAATGGCTTTAAAGCATTAAATTCCTAAAATTGAACTAAATATTCCTAAAAAGATATTATATTTATAAAAATTAATTTGAAAATTTTTATTCTGTTTTTATTGAATTTGCCTGTTCTTTTCAGTTTTTAATTATCAATATTTAATACATTCCTATTTATGATCTAAATTTACCTAAAAACTGTTCTTGTAATAATTAATTTGGTACTCTTTAAGTGCTTGATTTTATAGATATTGTCATGTTTTTTAACAATTGTCAACTTATCGAACGTGTAAATAGTCAGTTCATTTGAGTTTAGGAAAATTTGAAATAAGTGAAAGAAATAAGTTATTATTATTTTTGAATAATTTTTTTCGATCTCCTTTTCCAATGTTAAACGCCTGTACCAAGTTATGTATAAGTTTTATTTACATTTTTCATGTGTTTGAATACAATTGTTTATGTAAATATAATTTTAAAAATTAAGATTCATAAATTTTTTAACTACACTCTGTTTTAGTAATTGATAATAATTTTTGATTAGCACCAATCAAAAATAAGTTATTTAAACTTCAAAATTTATTTATTACAACATTTTTCAGATTTATTGTTTGATGATTAATAGGCATGCGAAAAATAATCTGCACGTCAAAATAGATATTCGCGCTCTTGATGATTTACTAACAATGATGAAAAGCCAATTTATTTTAAGTTTATCAACGTCGACATTGTATGGATAGGAATTATCTGAGATTGAACACAATCGGAAATTTGATTTTACTTAACCTAAAATGCCCCATATTTATGCACTTTATACTATAGTTTACTCTGATAATATTGTACAGAGAAAGAAGTACAAAGCGCAGTATTTAAAATCATAAATAACTTTTGTTCATCTCACTCAATGTGTAATTAATAATACTGATTATCAGATTATGAGTAACTCTGCAAAATTAGCTGTATTTAAATGCTTAAAGTTTGTATAAACAAGTAACTATAAATATTTTTAAAAATTTCCTTAAAAACTTATACAAAAGTATGATATCTAAAACTATAAGAATGACAAATGTAGTTAATATAAGAATTTAATATTTAATAAATTTAAAAGTACTATTAGCTTTAATCACTGAATTCTAAGTTTTAAAAAATTGAAAGATTACTAATGCAATATTTAAAAACCAAAATTACTGACAAAAAAATGTACGCAACATGTTAATTTTAAAAACAAAAATATATTTTACTATAACTGCAATTGATATAACTATTTACAATAAAAAACTCAGTGGTAAATTGGTGTATCATAAACAGTTAATGGAAAGCAATAAAATACATCTATTAATCAAGATTTGTACAACAAAGATTTATGCTTATTAGAGCCGCTGGAATAATCAATGCACATACTTTTTCTTTCATTTAAAAAATCTGCGTATCATGCTTCCGTCTCTGTACAGTTTTTTAGTTTTAATAACTACTTTACAAATAAACAGTATGGCACATGGCATTCCACACGTCACACTTTATTAATTTATGATGTTTGAAATTTCATTGTGCGAGTAGGAAACTGATCACGACATTAATATCATACTATATCATTTTTACATTACCATCTGTCAAAGGAGAACATTCAAGAGCATGCTCTTAACAATGATACATAAAGCTCTTACTGTCGTTACATAATACTCGCGAATAGATAATAATAATAATAATAGCTGGGGGTTTGGACTAGACATGATGTAGTTGGAGGTGTAATAGCCTCGATGAATTTGATCAAGATTTCAAACTATTTGACTCGTCAATTCTTCTTTCTGTCCCTGTTGTGAGCAAATTTAAAAATTCCATTTCCAATATTTGTCTTGCCTAAAATATAATTAATAATCATTAACCACACTGAAAAAAAATTACTTGAATCAAATAAAAATTACTTGATCCAAGTAAATAATTTGCTTGCATATAATCCAGTAAATATGTATTTGAACCAAATAAATATTTACTAGACCTAAGTATTTACTTAGGTTACATTAACATCTAAGAATTAAATTAAAGTCTGAACCTTACAGGGATTGAACCCAAACGCACCTAATCTTAACCAAACGCTAGCTTAACGATCACGGCTATCGAATCCACTTGATTTTTTTAAATATTAAAACTTTTATATTTTTGTATCATTTATAATTAAACTTTATTAATATTTTTTAATTTTAATATACTAGCAAACGTAAAAGGGTTTTAGAAATATTTCATTTTCATAATTTTCATATATAAATAAACTATTTCTTTGATATAAATATATCTTATTTGTTTTCATAAAATAATTTAATAGCATTAAATACTGTGTTGTTTATATTAAATAATTTAGTTTATTTGAATCAATATAATCAATTTATTGTGTCAAATAATTTCTATTTGTATCAAAAAACCACATATTTTAATGAAATAAATAAATGAATTTTTTTAAATAACGTATTATAAATAAATTCATTTATTAGATTCAGATATTTATTTCATTCAAATACGATGCAAAATTCCTGAAATGTCCGAACAAAAAATTAAAAGTTATCGAATTTAATTCATACTTTTCTAAAATGTTGTCATTGTTGATGAAAGTCCAAAAATCAATTCTTATTGAATTTGATAAAATAGTTTTTGAATTACAACGTTTTTAATTTTTGACTTTTGAAGAAAATTTTTTTTTAATGTACAATATTTATAAGTAGAATGCATAAAAGTTAACACATGAGGCAAAATTCCTGAAATGTCCGAACAAAAAATTAAAAGTTCTCGAATTTAATCCATACTTTTCTAAAATGTTGTTATTGTTGGTGAAAGTCTAAAAATCAATTATTATTGAATTTAATAAAATAGTTTTTAAATTACAACGTTTTTAATTTTTGACTTTTGAAAAAAAAAATTTTTTTCAATGTACAATATTTATAAGTAGAATGCATAAAAGTTAACATATATAATGATTTTTAAAGCTTTTTTGACGAGCTACACGCTGTTAATAAAATTTTTTTTTTTAAATAACATTTGACCTTGAAATTCAAGGTCAAAATGTTAATTTACATTTATCTCAAAATCGGATTTTTTAAAATTATTTTTAACTATCTCAATGGAAAGCTTGACTAATTTCCTACAAAACATGTAATTTTCAGAGTGGGATCTTTTAAAGTTTTTGAGATATTAATTAATTAATTAATTAATGTTCATAACAAATGAAATATTTTACAAACGAATAAAGTTACCGTAATTCTGAAGTTAGTAATTGAAAGTTAACGTAATTCCGCATCCAACGAGCCCTATATGAAGTATTTTGGATAAGTAGATTGTTAATAAACAATTAGTTAACATTGCAATTGTTTATTAACAATCTACTTATCCAAAATACTTCATATAGGGCTCGTTGGATGCGGAATTAGCTTAACTTTCAACTGGTAAGTTTAGATTTACGATAACTTTATTTGTTTGTAAGATATTTCATTTTTTATTGTTATTTAACTAAAATTGAACAAAAATACTTCATATAGGGCTTTTGGATGCTTCTTGTTAGTAAAAAATAAAATATTTTACAAACAAATAAAGTTATGGTAATTCTGAACTTACCAATTGAAAGTTAAGCTAATTCCGCATCCAACGAGCCCTATATGAAGTATTTTGGATAAGTAGATTGTTAATAAACAATTGCAATGTTAACTAATTGTTTATTAACAATCTACTTATCCAAAATACTTCATATAGGGCTCGTTGGATGCGGAATTACGTTAACTTTCAATTACTAACTTCAGAATTACGGTAATTTTATTCGTTTGTAAAATATTTCATTTGTTATAAACATTAATTAATTAATTAATTAATTAATATCTCAAAAACTTTAAAAGATCCCACTCTGAAAATTACATGTTTTGTAGGAAATTAGTCAAGCTTTCCATTGAGATAGTTAAAAATAATTTTAAAAAATCCGATTTTGAGATAAATGTAAATTAACATTTTGACCTTGAATTTCAAGGTCAAATGTTATTTAAAAAAAAAAATTTTATTAACAGCGTGTAGCTCGTCAAAAAAGCTTTAAAAATCATTATATATATGTTAACTTTTATGCATTCTACTTATAAATATTGTACATTGAAAAAAAATTTTTTTTTCAAAAGTCAAAAATTAAAAACGTTGTAATTTAAAAACTATTTTATTAAATTCAATAATAATTGATTTTTAGACTTTTACCAACAATAACAACATTTTAGAAAAGTATGGATTAAATTCGAGAACTTTTAATTTTTTGTTCGGACATTTCAGGAATTTTGCCTCACATATATGATTTTTAAAGCTTTCTTGACTGGCTATACGATGGTGATCAAATTTTTTTTAAATAAAATTTGACCTTGAATTTAAATCATTATACATATGTTAACTTTTATGCATTCTACTTTTAAATATAGTACCTACATTAAAAAAAAATTTCTTCAAAAGTCAAAAATTAAAAACGTAATTCAAAAACTATTTTATAAAATTCAATAAAAATTGATTTTTAGACTTTCATCAACAATGGCAACATTTTAGAACAGTATAGATTAAATTCGATAACTTTTAATTTTTTGTTCGGACTTTTCAGGAATTTTGCCTCATATGTATGATTCAAACAATTCAAGTTATTCAAATCAAATACATATTTTTTGGATCCAAATAAAAAAATATTTGAAACAAGTAGGGTCATTTGAAGTAAATGTAAACAAGGGGTAAATGTAATAATGTAAATGGAATAATGATAGGAAGATGATAGGAAAAATGCTAGAAAAATAATAGGAATAATGATAGAAAGATAACAGCCCTGTAAAAAAGAAAGAATTGGACGATAGTGATTTTGGAAATAGACCGGTGTTTCTTGAATTCAAGAAAAGCAAATTGACGAATAGGACCGATTTCTAAATTCGGAAATTGTATTGGTCCAATTCATATAACTTTTTAAGTGTGAAAATAAAGAAAATTAACCCTAGTGAAAATAAACACGTGTAATTACACATGTCGATTTGGACATGTGAATATATGTGTAATACACATGTGAATACACGAGGAAAAGTTTTTACACTTGTAATAAATTTTTTCTTATGTATTTACATGTCCAAATCGACACGTGGAGTTACACGTGTTTATTTTTAATAGGGAAGCTGTACAGGGCCTTAAAAAGGAATGATATGTGATATTGATTACTAATAAAGGTGAAAAACAAGTTGTAAATTCAGATGTTCATTACATGAACATTTTGCTTCCACTTTACAATCAGCAAAAAATGTGCTTCCTCGTGGAGAAAGCATTAACATTGAAATAAACATACATAAATAATATAATAATATAAACATTTGAGTTAAATTTAAAGAATTAATGAAAGTTAAAAAATCAAAAATTCACATTTTAGCTGAAATTTCCAAAAATTAATAAAAAGTAATATATAATTTGTAATTATTATTATTCATAATTATATATAATTTATATTTATTTGGTTTAAAATGTATGACCTTAATGTATGACCTTTATTTAATTAAACATAAATTGTTTAAGCTAAAGTGTGAATTTTTGACTTTTTAACTTTCATTAAGAGGGTGAAACTCGTGTAAAAAAAATTTTTTTACAATTTTTTTTTGCTTTAAAAATTAGTTTACTATCTGTAGAATATGATCCTACATTACTGATCTATAATTAGATGTATAAATGTCTACAGTAAACATAAGTTTAGCACTTCAGATGCTACCAAACGCAGTTAACGATGAGCACCTCTATTGAAAATTCCAACAAAGTTTTCCACGTGTGATCCTTTAAAACGAATCTATTAGAAATTCTCATAAGATCCTTTGTAAGATCTTACGTGGAATGCGTTTAAGGAAACTCCCAGACAACATACAACATTACTGTACTAATTTGGTTCAGGCAATGTTACAGGAAACTATATAGTTTTCCATATAGTTTCCTACGTAGAATCCTATAAAAGATGACACAAAAAATGAAAATTAAAAAAAAATTGATTATTTTTTTATTTATGTTATTTTGAAATATCCCGTGTAGAAATTTATCGTGGCCGTAATAGTATTAGCCTATAGCTAGAGAGTGTTTGTCGTGGAAATTTATTCTCAAATAACTGCAATGGCCCCTCAAAGTTCATGTGCAGTTTTTATACAGTTTTCCCTTCATTTCTTTAGATATGTAGTTTTTCTAGAATTTAGCTAGTTATTGTCTAGAATGTTTACTTGAAATTTTTGTACAAGTTCGTATAGTAGTCTGTCTAGAATTTACCAAGATGCGGTTATTAACAAAGGTAAGTTATAATAATTTGTTTTTGCTATTTATTAAGGTAATTTTACGTATATTTTTTTCAATTTAATTTTGCAATATGATTATTAACAATTTGTCATAATTGTTATTAACGAAGATAAGTTGTAATAATAATTAATCAATATATATTGATTAATTATTATTACAACTTATCTTCGTTAATATATATATATATATATATAATCGCCCCAGCCCAAAAAGTCAATGTTCTAAGATTGGCTTCATACTTTGGTAAATTGTTGTCCTATATGATAGTAATAAATCCCTAAAATATAAACTCATTAAAAAAATATTTGTAGAAAGTAGACGGGGTTGAAGTTTTGAAGTTAACATTGTCATTTTCAAATCCGTATAACTATGACAAAAGTTAATGGATTTCAATTTATCTATAATGAATTTTAATGCATTTTTCTCGTACTTTTAAAAAATGTATACGAAATTAAAAAAAAAATGTACCCTTTTTTTCAAAATCAACCCTTAATTTTCGATCTTCACCCCTTCGGGTATTTTTTTTTATTTTCATTGGAAAGCTGAGACTA